CGATGGCTTTGCTATTTTTTTTTGTACAATTCCTGATATCCAGAAATGCAATTCTGAAGCTCGCGTTGAAACTTGAATGTTCGTTTTCGATGAAATGGTTTGCCAATTTGTGTCAAAACGTGTCAAAATGGCCTTAAATAGTTATTTAAAAAAATGTTTCTTGAAATAAAAACCGCATAACTTCAAAACCGCATAAAAAGAGGACAGAGTGTAGTTATTTTTTTTGGTTTGATTAAATTAAATGGAAAATTGAATCCAGTTTTAAATAATCATATAAATTGAATATGTACAAAATGACACATAAAATATAACATAATAATGTGTAATAATAATATTTTTTTTTTTAATTAGAAGTGGCTTTTTTTTTGGGCAGCAATTTTTGAATCGCACCTCGAAAATGTAAATTAGCCGTCAAGCGAAATGCATGCATACAAATTCCTTGCATTGTCTAATATTTACACAAATGTGTGTTACAAAAGTATAAAAGTATATATTGTTTCTTTTTATTGAGGCGCATTGTTTACAGAATTTAATATATGGAATGTGCAAAGAAAAGAGACAAAGACGATTTGGGACTTCTCCCCATTTCCATCCGGACCGAATTTTGTGGGAACGCTTAATCATCAAATAAGAATCCCTACTCCCAACTCCCACTCCGCAATAATAATAATTTACTTCGTAAGTGGAATATGTCTTTTGGAACTAGTCTTAGCAGGAAGCCGAAAATTACCACAACAGCAGACAACACTTTTGGGAACAGTACTAATCCAGGTAACACATTTTTATTTCGCTTTCAATAAAAATTTATTTTCTTCTCACATTTACAAACCGGACTAATCGAAGCCGGAAATCCCCTAATTGTATTTTCAAATCTTACAAATGCAAGTTTTAACCATTTTCCGACAAAGCAAGAAAATAATATTTGTCTGCCTTATGAAGATAAAAATGCAATCCATAACTGAATGAAAAATTAATTACTTTACTTCAGGTTTCGAAGTCTGAACATTTCTGGTAGTAACGATTTTAATTCGCAGTCGTCATGGAAAAAAAAAGGTATTTGCACACATTATTCAATATATTATTTAAGTTAATTTAAAATTGTTTTATTAGCAATGATCAGTTAATGGTAACGAGGTATTTTATGAACTACCTGGCTAATATGAAGGTGATCTACGTTGGAGAGGACCCGGGCTGTTGCAAGTTCGATGATAACATACATAAGATATGTCTGAGAATCGGCACAAATAGCCAAGTATTGAATTTCCCCGCTAGCGTTAGCCAGGAGTTTATAATCGACAAGATCACAGCTTTTAATAATGATGATCAGGTCGATTTTATCCTCGTGTTGAGGGATCTACCAAAACACATCGATTACAGAACCGTCAGTGATAGAATCCGTCATAATAGGAGAGTGTTGAGCTCCGACTATTCTAATAATTCAACTTTTGGGAAATTATTTAGACCACCCATCAAGCTTATGGTGAATGAATTCAGGCAAGGATAACTCTTCTGTTTCAACTTTAAACATAATACTTTTAATTTCAGCTACAATATTGACTGCCAAATACTTAGAGACCAATTTTCTGGTTCAGTAACCAAAGTCGCCTGCAAAAAAAGGAACATCTGCTTAAGTATTCTTTAATTCCAAATTAATTAATAATTTTAAATTTTCATATACTGTTTTTATTCATACACATGTAATCTTAATAAGTCTTATTCATACATATTTTTTTAAATTTATATTCTGGCAAAATCGCTACTTTTGATAATTTTCGAAAACACCAAGTGTTTTACCTTTCATGTAATTTCTCTGTAATAAGATAAATAAATCCTTTAAAATGTCAAGGTGAAGAATTTTGTATTTACCCATTCAAATTGTTATTTTTTGGAAAAAAAAATTGAAATTGATAATTAATAAACATTATAATACTTATTTTTAATATATTTATATAATGGTAAAACAAACGTTTCATAGGGACACGTTGCAGATTCCTGTCAAATTTCATAAAAACCAACATACTTTTGCTAGGACATATTGTCCCAATGGGCATAAAACGGTTAACATATTTTGGGGAATTACCCTGGTATAACTTCATAGAGGTTTTTAGGTCATTTTATTGTTGAAATTCCACTTTTAACAATATATTTTGAACATATTATAATTACTGTTATTTTTTATATTAATATTTATTAGTTTTTTTTTTAAGAGATTTATATCTATTTATTGATATAAATCTCCGGCCCTATTTCTACCCCTTTCGGGTTTAATAGCCACCACAAATTTGTGTTGATTTTTCGGAATTGAACCAACGACCTTTCGTATCAGATTTTCGTGATACAGGCGATATAGAACTTCAACTTTTTTGATTTTTTTTTTCTACTTTAATAGAGTTTGATTGTATGCAACTAAATTTGCTCTTCTCTCATTTTTTTTCTCAATCAAGTAGCCAATCGGAGCTGTGATCATTTTGAAATAAATAGGAATTAAATAACTTAAGTAAATAAGCGAAGCTTAAATATAATGTTAGATGTTTGAAGATCATCGAAATGGAAACAATAAATTGTGTAATGTACGTTGCATATACAACGATTGTGACAAGATATTATAACCTAGCTTATTCATAACATTATTAGTATTTGGATTGGAGTATTCGTTGTAAAGTAAGTTGATAATTGCATCATTTAATAAGTGGTTAGAGAATCTAATAAATAAATTTAATTTGCAGATTAGAAGATGACTGTGCCACAAGAATTTCAGGCTGTGATATTAGCAGCTGGTAAGGGCTCCCGTATGCCTGAACTAACAGCTGAAAAACCAAAATGCATCCTGCCAATTGGTGGTAAACCATTGGTCTGGTATCCGCTGTTCAAATTGCAGCAGTTGGGTTTCACTGGTAATATTTTTAATTGCTATTTTGAATATTCTTAAACGAGCTACAATATTTACTTGCAGAAACTATAATGATTGTGTGCGAATCGCAAAAGCAGGACATCCAAGCAGCGCTGGATAAAACGAATTTAACGATTAAAATTGATTACGTGTCGATTACGAATAGCGACGAAATGGGAACGGCCGATTCTATCAGACTATTGAAGGATAGGATCAAATCTGATTTGGTGATTGCGTCTTGCGATCTGATCACGAATGCTGACCTGAGCAAGGTGTTATCCTTGTACAGGAAGAACAACGCGTCGATCTGCAGTTTGATGTTCAATCCTGGCAAGTGTGAGACTGTTGTTGTGCCTGGACCAAAATCCAAGTATAAACCGGAAAGGGATTTGATTGGGGTGGATTCTCAAACTAGCAGATTGGTGTTTTTGGCGTCGGCCAGCGATTTTGAGCAGGACGTCTCTCTGCCGAGGCTTCTCTTCAAGAAGCACACGGACATGACGATGTACAGTAACTTGATCGACTCGCATTTCTACGTGATGAGGAATTGGGTTTACAAGTATTTGTTGCAAGAGAACACAAAGTCCACACTGAAAGGGGAGTTCTTGCCGCACATTATTAAGAAGCAGCTCCTTAAACCTGTGACTCACGCGGATACGAACATGTCTATAGTTAACACCAAAGACGTCAATGATATCTTCCATTTGATTAACGATAATCCGCTGAACGCGAGCATAAGGAAAGCCAACAGTTTCAATGATCACCATGGAGACAGCAAGGAAATGTACCATGGTGATCTGATCAGGTGTTACGCGCACATCGCCGACTCTGATACATTCGGAGTTAGGGTCAACACATTGCAAAGCTTTTGGGGAACAAATGCAAAGGTAATACTTCACCTAAGTTATTTTGCTTATTAATAAATTTGAATTGTAGATCATGGATAATTGGCAGAAGATTACCGGTATTGAAAAACTTACTATGGTGGATGAAAAAGCCGAAGTTAAGAGCAATCAAATCGATAAGACGTTCGTTTGGGATTCGAGCGTTCTGAGCGAGAAGACTTCTTTCAAGAACAGCATTATCGGAAGCAACACGAAGGTGAACAGTTTCAGTCGAGTTTTCAATTCGATCGTGATGAACAACGTGGTTATTAGCGAGAAAGTTGCACTGGAGAATTGCATAGTTTGCAATGGGGCTGTAATCGAAACCCAATGCACTCTGAAGGGTTGCATAATTGGTAGCAATCATACAGTTAATCAGGGCGAGGAAAGGACTAATGAGGTCTTAACCGACAGTGATCGGTTTATGGAACTGTAACGTTGTCCTCGTGATCTCTGTCCTTCTGTTGTCTGTCCGATAATAAATATATTTATATTTTGTTCTTCATTGTTTTTTTTTTTGTTATTTATTATGTAATAATTTCACATTCTTAATATTAACCTAATTCAGTTTTGCATAAACCTGAAAATAAATTTTGATAATTTCATTTGAATTTGTATAAAATAATAAACAAAAAACTAATCAGTTTTATTGTGAAAATTTATGTTGTCTTTTCAATTTTTCATACAGAAAAGTTTTCTGTTACGTTTCATAGAATAGTTTAAGTTTAATTTGGAAATTCAAAAATTAACAATTAGTTCATTTAAAAAAACGGTTTTATTGTAAGGACAAATCTTTAGCAATCAATACTTATGATTGAGTTTAAGTGAAAGAAAGTAATGAAATAGATTTGATCTTTTGTCTTTTAAAAGACCAGTTGTTATGGAAAATTAATAAGTTTACTGTTACGTTTCATAGAACACCAAGTTTTCATGACGAAGTTCTAACAATACCACTAAGTTAATCATTAAAAAGGCTTCATTGTGAACACGTATGTTTAAGAATCAATACTAATGATTAAATATAAGTAAAAATAAGTAATTACATTGATTTAAACTTTTATTGGTTGCGTTGTTATGAAAAATTGATATGTTTACTGTTACGCTTCATAGAACACCAAGTTTTCATTACAAAGTTCTAACAATAACACTAAGTTAATCATTAAAACGACTTAATTTTAAACACGAATGTTTAACAATCACTACTAATGATTAAATTTAATTGAAAACAAATAATTACATTGTTTTAAACTTTTGTTATGAAAAATTGATAAGTTTGCTGTTAGGTTTCATAGAAAATTAAAGTTTCGTGACATAATTCTAACATTAATACAAAATTAATCAATAAAAACGGTTTCATTGTAACACGAATGTTTGACAATCAATACTAATGATTTTGTTTAAATGAAAGTAATTGCATCAATTTGAACTTTTGTTGTCGTTATGGATAATTGATAAGTTTGCTATTACGTTTTATAGTTAGTACAAGTATATATTTTTTTCTATTCTTCTCTTCTCCAGAATACATTTGACCGGCACCTTTTTTGGCCATCTTCCATCGTGTTAAATCTTTAGATTATTTTGTAGACTTTGAGTAATAGATCATAATTAGAGTGGTTGTTTGAGATTCAATGACTGGTGATTTTAAATCGACCAAAGTTTATTGCTGCTCCGTATGCAGCAAATTTTTTTGACTCTTTTTGATGCATTCATATTCAAAAAAAGATGTGTTTTATATTTTCCTACTGAAATGTTATAATTTTATACCGAAACAAATAGTTTATAATCTGATAAATTTTTCATTTGATTTCCAATTGACATATGACATGTAATCACCAATCCAATTATTATCCGCATCAAACGTTGCTTAACTTTTATATAATTTAAAAATATCTTAATTTCCGTATATTTATTTACATAAATATCAATAAATTTAACTATTACAAGTTCAATAATCAATTTATTAAAACTTATTGAATTCGAATAAAAATTAATATTTTTGAAGTTGTCATAATTTTCAGTTTGAAATGGTGGTAATATTCAAATACCTTCAATAAGTTTACAGGTGCGTTCAGATTAACAATAATACTAATAGCAATGATAATGTATATAAACTTACAGCAATAACAATAGTTTCGAACGATGTTACAAGAATGTATATTGGCTTTCGTTGTTTCGATTCATCTTATTAATTCTGTGTTATTGTTGTATGTCGATGTTTACGTATTGGATTAGATATTAGATTATGGGTTATATGGATTATACGTCAGATGGCGCTGCGATTAGCTCTTTGCTGAGATGTGGTTAGAGCCGACATTGAAATGGTATCGGAATTAGGCAAAAAGCATACTTACCTGGCGTAGGGGTTTACCGTGATCATAAAGGCGGTTCCCCCAGGGTGAGGCCCTACCATTGCACTTCGGATGGGCTGACCCTTGCGATTATCCCTAATGTGGATAACTCGGGCGCGAAATTTTTGGTAGTCGGGACTGCGTACGCGCTGTCCCGGACATTATATAACTTTAAAAATAATTATCATTTTTTAATATTTTCTATCTATTATATAACTTTCTTTTAATAGGAGGCTAATCAATTATTTTGTTGTTCTATAAGTATCGTAGTGATGATAGAGTTGCACAATTGTTTAGTTACCATGGCAGCATGTGATTAAAGCTAACCTAAAACTTAATTACATAACTCTGTCTTGTCAATGTTTTTAACATATGGTTAAGTTACGTAAACGTTAAGTACTTACGTAATCATTTATTTATGTTGATCATCTGTAGATAATCTATTTTTTTTATAGTTTATAATTCATATATAAATATCTTAGTGGTAGATATAGGATGAGTGAAGAGATCTATGATGTGTGAGATTATTTTTACTATAGAAACTCAGGAAAAAATAAACAATTTTGATGATATTAAGGATATCAAGGACAAAAGATCCAATATACATTGAAAAGGTAATCGTATAAATTACGTAATTTGCATGTATTAATCAATTATAATCAAATTTTAAGTAAATAAGTATATTTTATACAAACTTTCTAAATATTTGAAGTACTCAAAACTTACGTCACCTAAATAGGAACATAAATGTCAACAAACCAAAGGTAGTAACTTTTCTTTTATAACACTTTGTAGTTAGTTGTAACTCGGTAGGTTTGTAGCAAGGATGGGGATTTTCACATGAAATTCGTGAAATCGTTAAAGTATTTGACAGTTTCCGACATGAATTGGTGATAACTCATGGGATGATATTAATGTGAATCTTTATATTGAAATATTATATATATTTTTATTTATTCAAGCTTAATAAATACATTAATAAGAGTAGAGTAGAATAGAATTTAATTTGATTTTTTTTATTATTCATATATTTATATATTTTTTTTTTTGGTTTGTTTCTTTGTCGTCTCAATAAATCACAATATATATATATAATATGATATAATTAGTAAAATTCGATTATCTTACAATATAATAAATTTCTGTTTAATCTGTTATATCACGTCAATGAATATTTAAGAAAAAAACAAACAATAAAATAATAAAAAATATAGTGATTTTGCTTATTTGTACGTCGCAGTTAATCATTATATAATAGATAAGCACAATTAGTAAATGTAGTAAATAAATTACAAATATTTAAAGCACAAAAAAAAGTAAATTTGGTGTTAAAAAGTTTCAAAGCTTATTGATATGGGAATGACAAATTCTAAGTATTTCTTTGGATATTACGAGTAAATCCAATAATGTTCAAAAAAATGGTTTTCGTACATTGTTAAGAGATGGAATAAATTTGTTAAAGAGAGAGAAAGAGAGACTCTTTAAAATCTTAATCGTAAAGTGTTTGATTATTGCTGAAACGTTTAAAACTTCTTATAACTAGAATGATTTTTCCATAACATATTTTTGCCTCATTTCATCAAATCCTTTGGTTGAGGTTAAAAAGATGTATTGTAATTACGGTTCTGAGGCCATTCTGATCCTCGCCGATTCTCTCGACTTGTTATGGATTTCAGCTGTACGTAAAGTGATGCCAAAAATGTCTTCGTGGTAACGGTTTTCGTCCTGTTAAAGAGTCAGTTACAGTCATATCTTTATGTGACTTTTTATTAGTTTGCACTCACCCTAAGTCTGAGCATGTAGTTGTCCACTTGCGCTTCGCTCATGTTACCGAATCTTTGGATGATGGTCTTCAATGTGTGGTAGACGTCCTCAGCCATCGTGCAGTCTCCGCAAACGTAAAAGTGACCTTTCTCTATGACCAACAACTTGAAGATTTCCGAGGCTTCTTTCAAAGCCAGATCTTGAACGTAAGTCTGCAATGATAAAAAAAAAATATATGTCAGTTCGTCTATTAATAGGAGAAGACTAACGGAGAAGAGAAACGATTGATTTACAAGCAAGTCCCATAAGAACAATTCTAACAATTAAACACTTCATCACGTTTAGAGGTCTCTTGAGTATCTTTAAAAGGAGCAATCCCATCAATGATTGAATACCACTTACTAAGCTTATTGTGAGAAAAAATATGCTTAGTAAGAGGTATTCAATTATTGATGGCAGCGATGACATAAATACGTAACCAAAAAAATAATTTCTATACAAATTTAACATTTTATAGCAGATTTTCGATCATCCATTAATTGCTTAACTTTTGTAATATCTATAAAAGTGAAATTATACAGAATTATATAGCTTAATACTAAGTAAACTCTTTCCAAAAACGTAGAAATAAAATAGTTGTTACGTTCTGTAACGTCATGAATTATCACTATGACATTACGCAACGTCACGTCAATTTTACCTTTTTTCTTTACAAAAACTTTTGAAAATTACACGAGATTTCTTAAACTTTCAGTTTCTTATTTATTATATTGGAAATTTCTACTATGAATATCTTAAAATCAATTAAGGTATAAAGATATTTGCATAAAACTACAATTAGTTTATTAAATTATACTAAAATAATTGTTACCTTTTCGATATTTGGTTCTCTGGACAAAGCTAGGAAAGCCCTTGTAAGGACACCTGCGTCAATCATCTCCTGCTTCTCCTCTCGATAAAGATCTAATTCTTTATGTCTGCAGCCGAAGAACAACCAGCTCTTTCCTACTTTGACGTTCGTCTTGGTCTGGTGGAGTCGCTGCTGCCAGAAGGCGCGGAACGGTGCTATCCCAGTTCCGGGTCCGATCATGACTATAGGTCTCAAGGGATCCGTCGGCAAATAGAAATTCGGAGCGCTGCACATGATTAAGAACTATTAGTACTGTGGAATTTTACCCATTACCTAATACTTACTTTCTTACGAACATGTAGATCGATTCACCCACATGAATGTCTTGCAAGTAATTGGAACATACACCGTGATGCATAGGACCACTTCCATCTGCAAAATCATATCATAATTAGTTTATTTCTCAACCTAAATTAGCAATTAAAAAAAAATGTTTACCTTGAGTTCGATAGCTGACAACGGCAACAGTAAGATGGATTTGTCCAGGATGAAGAGCTCTGCTTGAGGAGATGGAATAGAATCTGGCTTGGAGCATGCTTAACTGTGCGACAAGAAGCGGTGCGTATGGATTGACCGATGGGAATTCCTCCAGCACTTCTAAGAGATTGGGAAACCTCCAGTGTCTCCAATCCTCGTAAGCCGCCGATTCCTTTAAATTCTCTCCATTAGATTTACCAAAAGCTAAACAACAACTTAACTCACAGTAGCTAATAAAGTCAACCGTCTTTGATCTTCCTCATCGGTGGCTATCGAGGCAAACTGCTGAAGAAGATTTGGCGTTGGAGGAGTCGTGATGTCCAAGTACTCGGAGAAGAGACTTCTGAGGGAGCAAGCCGGGATCTTCTCATGGTCAACCCAGGTCTTCACAACACCTACAGAAATTAGATGGATGTTTAATGTCTTGTTAATCATTAATTTCTATTCTACCGTTAGAAGTGTGCGTCTCCTTCATCACTTGAAGTTGGATAATCTCATCGGGATTGTTGACTCCTATCAGTTTTTCTAAAATTCCGTCCACCAGTTCGGGTCTGTTTCGTGCGAAGACGCCAACGTGATCTCCCGGATTGTACGAGATGTTGCACTCCAGGACTAACTTTAATGTAGCTCTTTCAGATTTCTCCACGTGCAGATTCGTTCTCTGTAGAAGCTTACTCGGATACACCTGGTTCATATAAAAAAAAACAAGATCACTTAATTTATATTACTAGACATATTGATGAACATCAAAGATATTAAGTTAAAATCCTACGGTTGTTGTGAAGTTGTCAAGTTACAAAGGCTAAGCAATACGCGGCACTTGACAAGTTGATTTGTAATTATCTATTTGTAATTCTGTTGAATAAACTATAAAAACTGTGACTGTGTAACCAAATTCGATTGTGGTAACGTTTCTTTTATGATAAAACAGTTATTACACATCTGAATTATTAAAAAAAAGTGTAGTAATTAAGATATTTTTGTGATCCTTTTCGAGAAATATCATTGACACATGTTGCTTAACTTTCAAAGAAATAAAATTGTCAAACATCAAAAAAACAACAGACGGAATTCCAATATGTAATATAATTCGTTTATTGACCTTTTGTTGGTAAAGTTGAAATGCATAACGTAAAATGAACTCTGTAAAGATTGATTATCCGAAACTGTATTTGCTGTATAAATATGTGTTCGAGATCAGTAAAACGTTTTATATTAAATGGGGGCATGCATCCGAAACTAAATGGGCACCAACCATCGAATCACTTCTATTCCGGGTAATAAAATTTGGAAAATCACATTCGAATCGGTTTTTATTGCAGAATGGAAATAAACCATATATTTACTGCTTTATAACCGGATTGTTTAATTCAAAATAACTGCGTTTAGTAAACATGTCTGTCATAATTATGTAAATCATATAAAAAAATCATGGTTTAATGAAAATATAGAGAAAAGGTATATTTATGACTAAAAAAATAACTAATAATTTCTTGGAAATATTACGTAATTTTAATTTTAAAGTTAATGTGTGATGACTGAAAACTATTTTTTTTGATCAGCGTCGTGTAATTATTATTTTTTTTTGTTCATATTATTATTAATATTTAGTTGGAAAGTTTGCGGGAGTTGAGCAATCATAAAAAAAAATATTGTATAACTTCGTGGATCGATGGGAAAAAAAATGGTATAATAAGGGAAGAAATAAAGGAGAAAACTGGAACTCATTAAGCAGAAGGCGAGACGAGGCGAGGGATAGAATCGGTTCGGTTCTGAATGGAGATTATTGTTTCTTTTCTGCCTTCAATTTCATGCGTCATTAAACGGATCTCGCATAAAATTATGTATTTATATAAGGGAAAGGGATACAATTTGTTATGAGAAGTATGGGAGGAAAAAAAGTTACGTATTTTACTCACCTTTTTGTTGTGCAGTTTGGTTAAACTAATTTCAGTCTCCAGCGATTTTCCATCCACGAAACGAACGCTGTTCGAGCTCAAATTTTCTGTTTGCAGGGTCATCGTCGCTTCTAAGAACGAATCATCGTCGTCCAGGCAAAAAGTGTCACATGCAACCTAATTCAAACAAATATTAACTAAATTTTACATAACTATTAGTGGTAAGATTTTTTTTATGTTATTGTGTTTAATGTGTAAAGTAACTTTATTTAAGTGAAGAAACATGTTTGCGTTCTAGTAATCTCAAGTTGTCAAGGTAACCGATCAACCACTCACTGTACGTTAGTACGGATATTTGTTCATATGATAATTCGATGTCAAAAAAGCATCTGTCATTTCAATTGTACTATCACTATAACAAACAATAGTAGTTTCAAATGTCTGATTATACGTTTGTATGAATATTTGTACGTTAGTTAGGATGTACAATGCATGAATGATGACGTTATTTATATGTTATCCAGAATAGATCAAAATGTACAATTGTGCATATTCGTCCAATTGTACGTTAGTATGGATATTTGTTCATTACCATGACTACTAATAGTAATGTTAACATTTCTGACTGTACATTAATACTAGTATTTGTACGTTACATAGGATGTACAATAAATGAACGTAGACTGTATTTATTTGTAACCCAGATTAAATCCACATGTACAATTGTGCAAAAAGTATCCGACTGTACGTCAGTACGTATTTTTTTTTAAATATGACAGTACGATGTCAAAAAAAGCATCTGTCATTTCAATTCTACTATCACTATAACAAACAATAGTAGTTTGCAAATGTCTGATTGTACGTTTGTATGAATATTTGTACGTTAGTTAGGATGTACAATGCATGAATAATGACTATATTTATATGTTATCCAGAATAGATAAAAAAGTACAGTTGTGCATAATCGTCCGATTGCACGCTAGTATGGATATTTGGTCATCACCATGACTACTAATAGTAATGTTAAAATTTCTGACTGTACATTTATACTAGTATTTCTACCTTACATAGGATGTACAATAAATGAACGTAGATTGTATTTATTTGTAACCTAGATTAAATCCACATGTACAATTGTGCAAAAAGTATCCGATTTTTTTTAATATGACAGTACGATGTCAAAAAAAGCATCTGTCATTTCAATTCGACTATCATCATGACAACCACTATTAATGTACAAATGTGTGACTGTACGTTAAGTATCTTAACATAAACTAAGAAAAAATGGATGCGTTCTAGTAATCTCAAGTTGTCAAGGTAACCGATCTACCACTCACTGTACGTTAGTACGGATATTTGTACATATGATAAAACATCTGTCATTTCAATTCTACTATCACTATAACAAACAATAGTTATTTGCAAATGTCTGATTGTACGTTTATATGAATATTTGTACGTTAGTTAGGATGTACAATTCATGAATGATGACTGTATTTATATGTTATCCAGAAAAGATCAAAAAGTACAGTTGTGCATAATCGTCCGATTGTACGCTAGTATGGATATTTGTTCATCACCATGACTACTAATAGTAATGCTAACATTTCTGACTGTACATTAATATAAGTATTTGTACGTTACATTGGATGTACAATAAATGAATGTTGACTGTATTTATTTGTTACCCAGAATAAACAATTGTTTATGTGTATATGTACAATTGTGCAAAAAGTATCCGACTGTACGGATTTTTTTAAATATGACAGTACGATGTCAAAAAAAGCATCTGTCATTTCAATTCGACTATCATCATGACAACCAATATTAATGTACAAATGTGTGACTTACGTTAAGTATTTTAACATAAACTAAGAAAAAATGGATGCGTTCTACTAATCTCAAGTTGTCAATGTAAACGAACACTCTTTCAATGTACGTTAGTATGAATGTTTGTTTTTTATGACAATTTCATTTAAAAACAACTGTCATTTCATCATAAATATGTGTACTAACATTGGTTATTCATTTGACAACTGTTTGATCTCAAAACAAAACAAGAAGGTACGTTAAGTGACTTTTGATAGTATTTATATGTTACCCTGAATACATCCGGTGCCCATTTCCGGAATGCCTGTTCCTGTCCGCACATTTCATCCCCGGAAACCATCTTCAGCAGCCGCTCGCCTCCCAGTTCTCCTAGGAGATTGTCTACGTATTGACCGAAGGCGCAGAAATTCGGATAGGCGCTGGATCCGAGCGCGAAGACGGCGAATCTGCAATGAGAAAAACGTTATTTAATGGGCGTTAATTAAAAGGCATTAAACGAGTGAATAATTACCGAACGTTGCTTAATGGGCCGAAGGTGTCCTCCAGCAACGGCTCACTAACGGAGCCACGGAGCGAGTCGTAACGGTCCAATTTCTTCGGATTATGTATATCTATTTGACTGTTCGCTTTTATGAATGACTTCGAGGTGGCCATAGCCATACTATTAAACAATTAAAAATTTTATTATCGTTAATCTTAAAAGAAACATTAAAATTATTGGATTACAAGGATTTCGAGCAATAAATCTTTGTATATGTATACGTTTTAGTTATTATTACTTTAACCTTTTGAATGGCCAGAAATTTCTAAATTTGTAGTCTCAACTGAATCAGTCAAGATCGTCAAGTGAATCATCATCAACATAAACATCTTCTACTGCCTTATCAAATTCATCCCTTTCATGGACATTTTCAAGAAAGTTATAATATTGTCCTACTAGATATGTTCAAAAGGTTGGACAATGCGTGTCCAAAGAATTAAGTAGATTAGATTGGGTTATCTAATTTTAGGTTAGATTGAATTAGGTTAGGTTTAGGCTTTGTAAATTACACTGATTATTCTTATTTTTGGTATTATGCAATTAAAGTTATTGGTGAAGTCAATCTGAAGATTATCAGTTGTTGCTTCATAATCCTTTCTATTTACCTTAATTTGCTGTCACCATTATCGATTCCAAGCTCGTTCATCTTCAGTGTATATAGATTCTTTGCAAACTCCTCTCCATTCTCCGGAGCATCTCCATTCCCGAAAGTCGACGTGACTACGAGAAGAAGAGCCTCGTGCTCGATATTGCTGATGTCGTAATCGGTCATGCAGTGCACCTGAGCGTTGAATGCATGCCCGAATATCTCGCACAGCTTCTTAGCGTAACCCTCGGACATTCCGGTCTCCGTTGCGTATAGAACTGTGGCTTTGATCCTCCTCGAGAGGGCCTTTCCGAACAGCTTCGACGTGAACTTGACGGCCCTAAAGGAGTAGACGAAAAGCATTATTAGAGATCTGTGTGTTGTTGTTGTTGTTCGGATCGTTAAATTGTAGGGTTGTGTGTTTTCACCCTCATTCTTGAGACATTCGCTCACCTAGCGATCTGCTTGAAATGGAACTTTCGCGGTTGCTTCTTGAGACTCTTCACGTCCTTCTCACCGCGCGTCTTCTTCCAGACGTGCGTCTTCCAAGCGGGATCCTGCAAACATGAAAGGGGGATCCCCGTCTCAATCTAAGTTTTAAGTACACTTTCCTGCTGGATCAACCCTCGATACTCATCGCAAATTCAATTATAACGAAAGAGTAAATAAGCTTTTCCATTCGAGCAACAGCAGACGCACTTAATTAGCAATGACTGAACATCAATTATATAAAGAAAACGACGCACACTTCGACTGTAGTAATATAAATTATTTAAATAATAAAAATATAAATTTAGTACTTGGTTAATATGTGTTATTACGTAATGATTGTTATATAAAAAGATACTTAATGGAAAATTCCATCTTCTGTAATCTTAATGTTTTACAGTTTTTGAATAATTCTTTTATATTTCGAAAATATCTCAAAAATTCTTGGAAAAAATATCAAATTTTGACAACTCATCATAGAAAAACAATAGTTATTACAAATTTGGTAGTTTCTAAGTTAGAAAGGTTATAATTTTATCTTTAATTTGCATATGCGATGATGTAATTCGCGTGCGCGGTTTTAGAGTAATTAGATAAAACGTGAGGGGATGAAAAAAAAAAACGAAAACGGCATATTTCAGTCAAAAATTATCATTATATAACAATAGTTATATCAAAATGTGCGTAATAGAAGACTCTTTATGATGTAATATGTAAAAATATTGTTATTCTGTAAAATTATTGGAATATTTCAATCTTTAACGTTGAGTTTATCAATGTTTTATAATATTTTCATTAATTCTCAAAGGATATTTCATTGAAACTTACCTGATACTCGTAGCAAGGTCTGAGGAAGTACAACGCCATCTCTTGATGGAAAACAGGTGTAGCGGATCCTGAAAGCGGAGGGACGATCCAGACCCAATCCGCAGGACATCCGTTCCTCAACCTAACTTCGTTCTCCAGATGCTTCATGAAGGACTCCGAAGCGGTATGATGATCGACTATGGTCACACCTTTTGCCTGAAAACTGTGCAGTACTGAAACGTTGCACTCCAGCATTGCCTTATCCTTCCACAGAGAAATTGGCGATCTTGTATCCAAACCCATCCCTTGAGCCACGATCTAATAAAATATACAAAAAAAAAACTTATAGAAAAAGTATAGATTGTTTAGGACAAACTTTACCTCAACGACGTTGTATCTGTAAGAATCGCAGAGATTCCTGCATCCGATCTCTGTGCTCATGTACCAACCGTTGAAAGGGGCAGCAGTGAACTGCAAACCTCCACAATCGAACATCATGTTCGCAACTGCAGGAAGCGCGTACCATTTCAGGTTTAGAGTTTCGAACCAGTCCAAACTGAAAGAATCAAATTAATTTCAATAAAATTGACGTGACCTCACGTCAACGTCACCTCACGGATCGGTGACGTTGACGTAAATTAATGAAAATTAGCGTGATGTGAAGTTGCCGGTCTATAATATGACATTAAGGTTAATGTTCAAATTTAGATTTTCGAACTAATCAAGTAATATGAAAAATTTAACCTGACGTTACGGACACATAATGCAACATTGACGTTACGTTAGGTTTCAAATTCAAATTATTACTGAAAAAAATCAAGTTAAATATGACATGATGTGACGTTGACTTAAGTATAATGTGAATTATGTTTCACATTAACTAAGTCATAATATTAGGGAATTTCAGTGAAAAACATATAAATATCAACATGTAATATAGAAAAAATGATGTGACGTTTCCGGTCCAAAATATGAATATGGAAAAATGTTCAAATTTAGATTTTTTGAACCAATCAAACATGAAAACGTTATAATGAAAAAATTAATGTGAAGAAAGATTTTTGTAATTCTGTAATCTTAATGTTTTACAGTTTTTGTATAATTCTTTTATATTTCGAAAATATCACAAAAATTCTTGGAAAAAATATCAAATTTTGACAACTCTTCATAGGAAAACAATAGATATCACAAATTTTGTAGTTTATAAATAAGATAAGTTATAATTTTATCTTTAATTTGCATATGTTATGATGTAATTCGCGTGCGCGGTTTTAGAGTAATTAGATAAGACGTGAAGGGATGAAAAAAAAACGAAAATGCCATATTTCAGTCAAAAATTATCATTATGTAACAATAGTTATATCAAAATGTGCGTAATAGAAGACTCTTTATGATGTATATATACAATATGTAAAAATATTGTTATTCTGTAAAATTATTGGAACCAATCAAACATGAAAACGTTATAATGAAAAAAATAATGGGAAGTTACCTATTCATAATGCAACGTCGACGTTACGTCTTGTTTGAATTGAAAGATTATTGTAATTCTGTAATCTTAATGTTTTACAGTTTTTGTATAATTCTTTTATATTTCGAAAATATCACAAAAATTCTTGAAAAAAATATCAAATTTTGACAACTCTTCATAGGAAAACAATAGATATCACAAATTTTGTAGTTTATAAATAAAATAAGTTATAATTTTATCTTTAATTTGCATATGCTATGATGTAATTCGCGTGCGCGGTTTTAGAGTAATTAAATAAGACGTGAAGGGATGAAAAAAAAAAAACGAAAATGCCATATTTCAGTCAAAAATTATCATTATGTAACAATAGTTATATAAAAATGTGCGTAATAGAAGACTCTTTATGATGTATATATAAAATATGTAAAAATATTGTTATTCTGTAAAATTATTGGAACTAATCAAACATGAAAATTTAATGTGAAGTTACCTATTTATAATGCAACGTCGACGTTACGTCTTGTTCGAATTGAAAGATTTTTAATTAAATACTTTGATAATTTCAAATTTTTAATGGAAAAACATCAAATATAATATGAAAATTTGATATGATGTACCGAAAACATGATGTGACGTTATCGTTCCTTAACGTAACGTTGACGTAATTAATTTTTGTTTAAATTAAATAAGCAAAAATTTGAGGATATTCATGTAAATAACATGGATTTAGTTTGACTCAATGATCTCAAGTTCAATACTAAGTAAATGTTTTCATTGTGGTCATGATGGAAACTATTGCATATTCTTTCAGAAGAGATGATAACATTGTAAAGAGGGGTTGGAACGTCCGCATTTCCTGAACTTCGTTATATAAACATCGTGGATGGGCGGCGGTAGTGAAAATATGGATGTTGATGCGAAGAAGACTTACGTGGGATGGGTCAGCGGTATTTCGAGGATAAGTTCGCTCGGTATATCGAAGTAGTCGGGGTCGTGTCCGTTGGCGGAGAGCACCAGCGGCAATATATCGAACTTCGAACCGGCACCTCTCCATCCCAACTTCATGCAAACTTCTGCAACAGAAAGATAAAAATAATATTTGAATTTTATTGGTCTAAACGTGGGTCGCGGTTTTCCGCAGATAATCCAATATGTAGGCAAAGCGTCGACCGGAATTGCATAGGTGCGAACATCGAAGAAGAAACTGCAAGAAATAGAAAAACGAGAAAAAAAATATTCAAAGAAAAAAATAAGAAAAATTCAAGTGGAATGTGATAGAGTGAGTGAGAATGTGGTAGTAAAATTTTATGTGACGCCAACCAAATTAAGTTAGCACCCTTCGGCTTTAGAATCGTTGGGTTTTTCTTTAATTTCGCATCTTGAAAATTCCCTATTTGAAGAGTTTACATATAATGCCTAAGTCTGCACTCGACTTTCTGCACGCATTCGTAGTAGGAATTGCGAAAGTTCTAAACGGAATAACGTGTTGCTGCACCTAAACTACACTTAATAAACTAAGTGCCTCGCTTTAGTAATAGTGGATTATATGTATGTTCATTCATGAAACAAAAGTTTGTAAAAAAAATTTTTTTGATTTATTTCAAATTGATACTTCATCAATTACAAAAATAAATGAAACAAAAAATTGTAAAATAATATATGTAAAAATATGATTTATTTACTTAATTCGTGTTTAACTTTTAACTAATTGTGCATTGAAATTACTAAGAAGTACTCGCGCGGTGTATTTTATACACCACATGTATTACTGCCAGATAAAGTACATAAATCATTGTATTACGTCAAGAAAAAACTTTATCAAGTTAGCTAATGCTTTATAATTAGATTAATAACTATTTGTAATACATTAATTATAATAATATCATCTAATCAGAATTGTCATCATTGCCCTCTATATAAGCGTGAGTAGAGGTATCAGCATCGTCCACTATTACACCTACACTGCAATAGCATCGGTATTTAGTAAACACTTTGGGCATAGGTTACGTTAAGTGCCATAGATGGGGAAATTCATCGGTGGGAGTAGTTAAAAGTTAAGAATAAAATTTATTGTAACATATGTGCAAATAATTACAAAGGATTTTTCCGTGAATTATTTAATAAAATGTAGATTAATATTAAAACTAAAGTAAACTTATGTAATTTATTAATTTAATTTATAAATTAAACCATAAATGAACTTATTTCATTCATAAATTTTCACCTTAATATTTAATTTGTATATAAATTTAGTAAATTGTTTAATTATTGTAACATTTTTAAAACATTTTACCTGAATTATGATTTTTTTTAAAGATTTTGTACATTATTAATTTTGTGTAGGATATTTCAGCTTGACTATGAAATTATGGAAAAATATATTGAATTATTTAATTATTGTAAAAATTTGTCAACGTAAAACATTGAAATGTGATTTTTTTTTAAATAAAATTGATAAATTGCTTAATTATTGTAGAATATTTCATACGTTTTATCTTGATTATGAAATTATAGAAAAATTTATTTTTTTTTAGTTTTTGGAACATTTTTATTACATTTTACATGGATTATGATTTTTTAAATAAATTTGATAAATTGTTTTAATTATTGTACAATTTTTCATGTATTATCTTCATTATAAAATTATAGATAGAAGTATTTTCTTTTAGTTTTTGGAACATTTTTACTAAATTTTACCTAGATTATGATTTTTTACTAAATTTTATGATAAATTTACTAAATTGTTCATTTTTAAGAATATTTCATACATTTCACCCAAAACATGAACTTATAGATAAATTTAATGAATTATGTAATAATTGTAACATTTCTACTATGTTTTACTTGAATTATGAATATTAAAATAAATGTAATAAACTGCTTAATTTTCGTGCATTTTTTTACTGCGTTTTACTTGAATTATGAATTCATTCATAAATGTAATAATTTGTTTAATATTTGTAAAATATTTATTTTTACATATTTCTATAAAATAAAAATACAAGAAATTTTGTTTACATATAGAAAACTGTAAATTTTCTACTTAAAATTAGTTTCTATAAATTAATGCGTAATAATACAATAAAATAGAAAAAATTGGTAGGAAGATTTCTGTAGTTTAGCCTAAATTATTGTCAATAAAAATAAACAAATAATTGCAAAAATTATCAATTAAAACTGATTAATTACTGTAGAATCTTTCATATTTTTCATATAAGAACTCGTATAAAGTTTGGTAATTCAAGCATTCAAAATATCATAAATTTAAAAGGATATAAATTGAAAATTTAATGCAAACAATTTTCCAAAGATCAAGACAAATCTTATGAAAATTAGTTTTATTAATTATCCATATATCATCATAATGTTAACTTTCTAAATAATTATTTAAAGAAATTAAAGGAAACTTAGCTATATCTATTATAAAATTGTATTATAGCATATAATTAAAGTGTATGTTTGTAATTAAAAAAATATTGATTATTTTCAATGATAGTGGTAAAACTTTGGTTCCGCCCGGGATCGAACCGGGGACCTTCTGCGTGTGAAGCAGACGTGATAACCACTACACTACGGAACCGTACGTCCATCCGACAAAATTTGAAAAAAATCTCCGCGAAATTTAGCAATTTCTGCAAGAAATTATATAATCACCTAAAATCAATAGTAGTCTAAAAATTTGGTTCCGCCCGGGATCGAACCGGGGGCCTTCTGCGTGTAAAGCAGACGTGATAACCGCTACACTACGGAACCACATGATATAACTTTATCAAAAAAAAATCGAAATTCCTAGGAAATATTAACATCTCTTAATGCTTTCCATGTATCAAAATATGTTTGTTTTCTATAACAAATAAGTTTTCTTGTTGTTAACATCACGTTATATAAAAACTAAATCAATTGTAGGAACTTAATTGTGGATGCGCCAGGTACAAAACACAAACAAATGTGGATTCGCCGGGGTTTTCGTGTAGCCGGAAGTTCCAAGTATCACTTAAAAAATGTGGATTGTTTGCAGCGTGAAGCATAAACAATAGATCGGTAAATAAAAGGGCTTCAACATTTCCGAACGCATAAATATCGACTCGTTTTTTTGTTCTATTTTTTTGTTTCAGGCGTGCAACAAAAGCGTCATCCATCTGAAATTCTGTAACAGATCCAGAGAAATTATCCGTTTTTTTTCGGTCTCGTAATTCGATTTTCTACTTGTTTTCCGGTTCCGCAAACAGGAAAATCCCTTATTTTCATTCGTTTTTCACATTTACCTGCATAGAATTCATATTGAAAATTGTAACCATCAATAGTTAAACAATGCGTGACTTTGATATTACTTGAATTGGTGACTTTTCATTAATGTGATATTACGCAATTAACGTAAAATGTAATGACTTTGGAATCATTTGACGTTTCATGTTTACCTTTATGAAACTAATATAAAAAATTGTAACAATCAATCGTTAAACAATAAGTGACTTAGACATTTTTGAATTGGTGACTTTCATGATTTAGTGTCAAATATAATGACGTTGGAATCATTTAACGTTTCACATTTACTTGTATGAAAATCATATCGAAAATTGTTATAATCAATAGTTAAACAATGCGTGACTTTGAAATTACTTGAATTGGTGACTTTTCATCAATTAATGTTAAATATAATGACGTTGGAATCATTTGACGTTTCATGTTTACCTTTATGAAACAAATATAAAAAATTGTAACAATTTGTAATTGTAACGTTTCACATTTACCTGTATGAAACTCAAATCGAAAATTGTAATAATCAATAGTTAAACAATGCGTGACTTTGATATTACTTGAATTGGTGACTTTTCATCAACTAAGGTCAAATGTAATGACGTTGGAATCATTTGACGTTTCATGTTTACCTTTATAAAACTAATATAAAAAATTGTAACAATCAATCGTTAAACAATAAGTGACTTTGACATTCTTGAATTGGTGACTTTTCATGATTTAGTGTTAAATATAATGACGTTGGAATCATTTAACGTTTCACATTTACTTGTATGAAACTCATATCGAAAATTGTAATAATCAATAGTTAAACAATGCGTGACTTTGAAATTACTTGAATTGGTGACTTTTCATCAATTAATGTTAAATATAATGACGTTGGAATCGTTTGACGTTTCATGTTTACCTTTATGAAACTAATATAAAAAATTGTAACAATCAATCGTTAAACAATAAGTGACTTTGACATTCTTGAATTGGTGACTTTTCATGATTTAGTGTCAAATATAATGACGTTGGAATCATTTGACGTTTCACATTTACCTGTATAAAACTCAAATCGAAAATTGTTATAATTAATAGTTAAACAATGCGTGACTTTGAAATTACTTGAATTGGTGACTTTTCATCAATTAATGTTAAATATAATGACGTTGGAATCGTTTGACGTTTCATGTTTACCTTTATGAAACTAATATAAAAAATTGTAACAATCAATCGTTAAACAATAAGTGACTTTGATATTTTTGAATTGGTGACTTTTCATGATTTAGTGCCAAATATAATGACGTTGGAATCATTTGACGTTTCACATTTACCTGTATGAAACTCATATCGAAAATTGTTATAATCAATAGTTAAACAATGCGTGACTTTGACAATACTTGGATTGGTAACTTCTAATCAATCGATGTGAAATATAATGAAAATCTAAAAAGAAAATCACATATTTATTTATTGATTATAAAATATTTTCAAGAATAAAGGATTTTTAGGTTAAAATAATTTGACGTTTCACATTTACTTCTATGAAAATCCAATATATTTTTATGTTTTAAAATGTCAATAGTTAAGCAATGCCAGACTTTGAATTTATTTGGATTGGTGACTTTTCTTCAATTTATATACAATATAATGACAATCTATGAAATGTCACTTTTCTCTTTGCATCGACGTTTGACCTTTTGCAAACTTATATAGAAAATTACAATAATTTTTACTATTTAAATTACCAGGTTATGATAATCAATAGTTAAACAATTTATGTAAAAAAAAACTAAATATTGTCATAAAATCACTTATTTATCTTAAACAA